TTGTACTTGGGATGGAACTCAGGACCTTGAGCATGCCAGGCAGGTGCAGTGCCACTAAGCTACATCCCTGGCCTTTATGTGATAGTCTTATAACCGACTTCCAAAAATGCTGCTTCTAGTTTAGCAGAGTGGTTTCTCTAGCAGGACCCAGTGCATTACTTGTGTCTAATGCACCCCTTTGAAAAACAGAAACAGATTCGCTGCAATGTTATTGGGTGGGGGTGGGGGGTCTGCACATGAGCTAACTTAAAGTGACAGTGTCTTTTCTCTCTGGTTAACTCTCACCCGAGTCTGCAATTTTTTTCAAAAGTAAGGCTTCAAAGTACAGAATTTTTAACCTATAGGACTCCAGCAAAGAAAATAACGCTATTTGCCATCACATGGGGACTTAATCTCCAGTCAACAGATCCTACCACACAGGACCAGAATTAACTTGGAAGACAAGTTTCCTTCTGCATGTCCCCACAAAGGGCAAGCAAGGATATCTTACCAGAAGCATCGCTGACGTCCCATTGGGTCTGGATAGGTGGATGGACATTTCAGGGAACATCCTGTCGATGCGGCTGATCACGTCGTCAACATATCTGGTCAGGAAAAGCAACAAACATGTGAACAGGAGCCCTACTCGAGGCTTCACTTCCAAGTATAACTTTTTACCAGTGTGACTGATACATTTTAATGAAAGCAAACAGTACTGTAAGGCTTTTTACGAAAAAATACCACTCCTTTCTTCATCCCCTTGCCTTCTTAGAGCTGACCACTTTTTAGTGATTTCTTATGATATTTACTTCCATCTTCTAAGTAAAGTGTTTTGGATGTTACCTCTTGCTTTTTGATCCACTTTCCTACAGGAGACCAGAGTGCAGCTGTGTCTCCTTCCCCACCTTGCCCTCTTTCCTGGGCTGGGGCAGGCTGGGGCTCCCTTGTTGTTCCCCTCTGTGGGCCATCGGTCACTGAGTGACCAATTCTTTGGGATAAATTCCTTCTGTCTTAAGCACCTGGAGTCATTCCAGTTTTACCAGTTGATTCGAATTATACCAGTTGATTCAAATTATAGTATATTGTAACTTTTGTTGAAATCAGTACTGTGTTTAGATTCCACAATCTCTGCTCTAAGTTTTAAAAGCAGAACCACATAGGGGCTCACGACTAATTTATTTACTTATATAGCTTCCTGTTTTCCTGAATGTCTATTTTATCATTTTTATTTATTAGTTTTCTACATAACTATTATTTTATTAAATTCTGACTCTAAAATTTCTCTCACTACAGCGAAGCTTATCAGGCAAGCTACCAAAATGGAGCTCTTCTGGCCCAAATGGAACTTGTATCCCATAAATCACTGAGGCCACAGACATCGGGCCCTTAGTGGTGGTTTCCGGCATGTATTAGGGACTCAGATTCCAAGCGATCTTTTTCATAGTTTCACCACAAACACACCATAGGCTATTCTGCAAAAGTGCCCCCTCCCAGCAGGATGAGCCCACCCGCCGGCATGGCGGGAGGCTCCCTGTGCGCTGCCAGCCCCACAGTGCAAACAGATCTGTGTCTGCTCAGGTCCCCAGAGAGTAAAATCATACTAATATGTGGGATCACTGCCCAATCACCCCGGACACAAAGGGGATGGAGAACAGTTGAGACGCAAAACTATCTATTAAGGGTCTTGCATTAGATTTCTGCATCCATTGGATATGACAAATCACATTACACATCCATTAAATCAGGGGCGGGTAATAGCTAGTCTCTAGGGGAAGGAAGAGATAAGCTCTTCATGTACAACATGAAAAGATCTCACTTCGAAACCCGTGGCTCGCAAGACAGCAGACAACATAATGCCATTTATCAGAAAGTGAACACTACATATCCACTATGAAAGTCAGAAAATAATCCTACAGATCAGCCCACCAGGTTTTCCTTGGTAAGTGTTATGTGCAGCTTTCAGCTCATGCTGAAGAGGGATGTGGAGTAAGGACAGCCGGCCCGGTGGTGACAGAGAAGGAGGAGTGCAGAGGGGAGAGGCTGGGTACTGCTTGCTCCCGGAGGGGTGGGGGGAGGCTCCGCTACTCACTACTCACCCAGGCTACAGCAGGGCCTCTACAGATCAGTGTGGTGCCAACACCTGTCTCCCCTCTTGAAAGGACCACGGCACGAAGAGCATCAAAAGGCGTTTGCTTAGAAAGAGCAAGGGGTGTTTCCGAAAGGAAAGGCCTCGTTCTGTTGGCTCGGTAATGGTTTGGAGGACAATGTTCCCAGGCAGCTATGAGACAGACCAAGATTGCACACATCCTTGTGCCTGGCCTCCTCCTAGTCACAGCGGCTCTGTGCACAACCCTGCATCCTGGCTTCAACGCTCCCAAAACGTGAGCAGTGAAGAAAGGAGGAGATCAGCTCACTTTTCAGCACCATCGATGGCTGCTGAAATGGAGGGGGACACTTTACAAAACTTCATGCCACAAGGTCACGTATTTATAAACTTGTTTTAACTCTATGTATGTGTCTTGTTACTCTTTTTTTTTTTTTGGTACCAGGGATTGAACTCAGGACCTTGCACTTGCAAAGCAGGCGGCAGAACCTCTGAGCTAAATCCCCAGCTCTATGTATGTGTCTTAAACCTCATTTCTTCCAACTCAGCAGGAAGCAAAAATCCACTGTCCTGTGTGAATGGAGGTCACTGCTGAGTACATGCTAATGAGGGGCAGGTGATGTATTCTAGCTGATTCTCAATCAATAGCCATCATAGCCCTGGACAGCAGAAAGCAAATGAATACGCAGCACTTCAGTGCAAAGGTAACACATCCTAGCTTGCTCTCCCCTGTACCTTTCACCTTGAAGCCTTGCAAATCCACTCTGTAAAACTAGTCTCTTTGGCAGGCCAGGAAAACAGGTCACACACGAGCCAGGAACCAAGCAAGGTGCAGGCTTCCCGAATTCCACAGCGTCGCCTGACTGGAGAGCCAGCACCCTGTGTGGGCACACACATAACAAGGTGCCAGCCGTTTCTAACCCGCTTGTACTCTAAAGGGGAGGCAGCTGCAGAAAGAATACAGAACTTAAGAAAAATATCTGCAGTTGGCAGAGGAAAGCAGAAAGGTCTGGGCTGGATCTTTTGTTGTTGTTGCTTCCCCAAGCAGTGATCTTAGATAAAGCTCAGCAGGCTCAATTCAAAGATTTTATTAGGCAAAAGCACATTTTTTAGGAAGATGTTTTCATTCACATGCCTAACATAAAGGCAATGCAAATTTCTTTGTTACAGGTGACATTAGGTGTTTGCCAAAAAAAAAAAAAAAAAAACAAGAGAAAGTCAGCTGTAGCTTTAGCAGAAGAAAACAATGTCTAGATTCAAGAAGTAAAAATCAAAACACTTCATTTTTTAAATAGACTCAGCAGCTTTCAGACGGAAACCAGGAAGGCGGGACAGCAAACGGGAGGGCTGGAGACAGAAGGGCCTTTCTTCCTGCTGAGGGCGGGGCCCGCAGGGGAGGGGGTCCTCGGCAGCACCCCCAGGCTGCACTGCTGGGGCACAGAGCTCAGCCCGAGGCGCCCGCTCACTCTGCTCCGCGCAGCACAGTGCTGAGGACAGGTAGGAACAGCGTGCTCTCCTCCCACACTGCCACCATATGTCACACTCCATTCTGTGCGGAACCAAATCACTTTAATTTTTACCTTTGGAATATAGGCAAACAAGCAGTCACACAGCAGTGGTGACTAGTTTACACTTGAGCAGACGCGGCGCGGAAAGACATTAATTTGGTGCCAAATTGAGCAGTGAGTCACAATTTGCACATATCTGTCAACCTGTTAACAGGGTAATAACTTGGAAAGATTGCTGTTCCTATTTACATCACAGGAGCCTTTCGAGAATGGAGAGCTGCTCGGTTCTCCTTCTGGAAGCACGCAGCCCCATGAGCTGGCTCGATGGCTCAGGAGCCTGGTGGAAACAAACTTCCAGAAATCACAGGTTCAGACCAAGGTGTGATTCAGACTTCAGGGTTTGCAGGCAGAACATGAACTTTTAAGCAACCAGAAAGAGCCCTGTTTTCCTTGCCCTGCTCCCTAACCATAGTCAGATGCTCCATGTTTCTGATCCCATCTTCTCCAGGGCAAACCAGCCAACTCTCCGGAAGTTCTCAATGGCTTCCTGGGACCCGGGACCAAGTTTCTGTCTCCACGATCACAGTGTCTCTGCTTGGTCAGCAACAGCTACATCACTCTTAGATTCTAACACTCAGTTTCCGGAGCCTGTCAGTTTGGTTTTCTCGAGTTTCTTCAAGAAGCTCAGTCTGCTCCTTTGCAGGGTCTTGACGGGAGAATTAACACCAGGACCTTGCGGTTCCTCACTCGACAGCCCTGTCAATCTGGGACTGAACAGCGCTTCACGAGGCGAGCTGCACGGCCTTCGCGCACGTCACCCCACGGAGCCCTGCTCCTGCTAGACAGTCCGGTGGTCTCAGAGCAGCTTGCCAGAGTCTCTTCCACCACTGTCCACCTGCACTCAGCCCAGTGCAATGACACGCAGACCCAACCTCCAAAATCCAAGGCTTGTCACCAGCGTGTGGAAGATGACTGAGTTTTCTAGTTCATTTCAACAGTGGTTCTGACTGTGCTGAGTCACAAACCCCTCAGAGAAGGTACTGAAAACTAGAACACGGTCTCCGTCAGTTCCCGGGGCCCCGAAGTTAAGAATCCTGTTTGGACCCTTTCCAGACCAGAAATCTCTGGTGTTCTTTGCTGCTTTCTGAGGGCTAAGTCTTTTCCAGGGCAGCTGCTTCTGGGAGGCGGTGAGGCCCTAGCCCAGTGCAGACGGGGGCACAGGGAGGGGTGCAGAGCAGAGCTTGGCCAGCCTCAGAATGGCTCTGTGACAGAGCCCTTAGTCTAGTTTTTGTGTACTTGTTTTTAATAAACAAACAAGATTTGCATATGCATTATGCACACGTTTCGGAGTAGTATGCACACACTGTGGAACGGCTACATCAGGCTGACTGACTCATGCGGCACCTCACGTACATTTTTTGCCTGTGGTGGGAACAATTTAAATCCACCTCTGCACAATCTTCACGCATACACTGTCATCAGCTGTAGTCGCTTCTTGAGCTTATTCTTCCCAGCTGAAAATCTGTACCTTTCAGCCTGCACCCGTCTCCCATTCGAAGCTCTTGGTAACTTCCATTTTACTGCTTCTGAGCTAACTTTTCTAGACCACACAGGAAGTGAGGCCACGTGACATTGTGTCGCGGTGACACAGTGACCTCCTGCTTCTCCCATGTTGCAAGTGACAGGATTTTCTTCTGTTTTTTAAAAAGCTAAATAACATATGTACGTATTTTCTTTATTCACTGATTGGTTAATGAACAGAGGTTGATTCTACATCGTGACTATTACAAATAGTGCCATAATGAACATGGGGGTGCGATGTCTCCTTAACACACCTCACTTCCTGTGACGATACGCCCAGCAGCGGGACTGCTAAGTCACATGGTACTTCCAGTTTTAATTTCTGAGGCACCTCCGGACTGTCTCCCACACGGCTGCACTGAGTTACATCCCTGTCAGTGTGCCTCCGTCCGCGTTCCCCTTCTCCACTTAT